CACAGTCCCAGTGAAGTGCTGTGTCCCCCTGCTTTTACCAATGAAAGACAAAGAAACGCGGCGCCCTTTGGAACAGGGGTTGACACACACAGAATGCCGCGTTCGGCGCTCTGTCTGTTGGCAACAGCTTTGTACTCGTAACGCCAATATTGGCGTTCCGGAAAAAACTACTAGTCACCTAAAAAGCCTTAGAAAGACAGACAAAGAAAACAAGCCAAGAGCAGACTAAGAGGGCAAGAAAGAAAGATAGGTATAGCGACGAGGCCCACTTAGTTAAATGAAAGTAGTTCGCGAGCGGGACATTTGTCTTAGACCGCTCGGGTAGCTAGCAAAAGGACAGGGGAAAACGGAAGGAAAGGCACCAACGCACAAGTGTGTTGAGTGCGATTTCCTTCCGTTGCCCGAATAGCGGGTGGGATAGCAACAGAGGCCTGGGGCAGGGAGGGAAGAAAGCCCGAAGGCTTGTCAACATTGGCATTCAAGTAAAGCCGATTTTGGGCCGGCGCACCCGTCTGAAAGGTACCTGAAACCTAAAGAAAGGCCTCAAGAAAACGAAAAGCAACAGCAGGAAAGAAAAACCAAAAGAACCAGAAGAGATTACTTAGTCGTTCGCGTGCCGAACTCTCCCACCGCTCGGGCGCAAAAAGGCGCAACAGTTTCATCTGAAACCTGAAAAGCTCTTTACCTGAACCTAAAGCCTCGAACAAATCCGAAGTCGTCCGAGTGACACGGTCGACTGAATCTGGCCTGTGAATACTTAGCAGCATGACGTGGACATGTGAATACTTAGCAGCATGCCCTGGTCAAGGGTTCAGTAATCAAAAGGTGGTAACCGTATTAGCCCGGCGGCTCAAAAGGCAGTAAATTCAAAGTGGAAGGAACTCAGTTAAGAGAATCCAACGAGTGGTGGAAACGAAGAGTCAGTGACACGAATTCCGGAATGATGACAGCGCCTCCTTGCGGAGGATCACACCCAGCACCCAAGTGGGACGGCTGAGCGGTTCACACTCTGACATTGGTTTGCTGCTAACTCAATTCCCAGGTCGAAAATGGTGAGGGAACGGCGTGGCGAGAAAGTCAGTTCACTTGAAAGGTTGAACAAGTTGTTTGTGCGTGACTGCAGAGCTCAGCGGTGGTGAACGAGCGGCGCAACTCAGCTGCAAAAGCCAAGGTTTCGGGGGTGGAAACATGAAGGACCATGAATCAAACCGTGGAAGAGTAGGGTAACAGCTTGTGAGAGAACGAGCAGGTACGTCCAGCTGGCCAAGCTGGATATCCCATTTCACTGGTAGCTTCGTTGGACACAGTCCCAGTGAAATGCTGTGTCTCCCTGCTTTTACCAATGAAAGACAAAGAAACGCGGCACCCTTTGGAACAGGGGTTGACACACACACACACACATTCTTTATATATATATATATAGCTGGAGTGCTTCAACAATCCCAATCAATTGAGTTGCAACCTGCTGCTGGGTTAACCTATTTTGGGAAACATTTTTCCAACACACATGTTTTCCATGCAAGTATAAATACGCAGAGAGGCCTCATGTTGGGTAATGAGACCTTTGTCCAGCACTTTGCCAGATGTGGGCCCGGATAGTGACGCTGCCTGTGCTTGCGCCTGGGTTCCAAGCTGCATTACTGGCAAAAACAGCGAACATTTGCTTATATAATTGAATGAGGTGCATATTTGCTTGGAGAAACAGCTTATGAGAGCAAACTCCATGAAGCCGACTCAAGGTTTTCGCTGGCCAGCCGCTCCCAGCATGCGACGGAAACAGGTGAGGCAATCTAACCAGGGTAGGCATCCCACACTTGTATCATGTATCATACAGTAGGGGACTCACAGTCTATTTCAAGTTTTTATAACATTTTTTAAAAACCATGTTGAGCAAATTGTGCAGTGATATTGTACTGTGAAAGCTGCATTGTCAGAAGGCGTCGCAGTGCTAGCAAGGGCCGAGCAGCGTTTAGTGGGGGGCTGAATTTTGCAGTTGCACCACACATACAGTCAAACAGTACATGGTGCTTGGATCGTCGCCAACTTACGTCGTAGTGCTCCCCTTAGAGATCGCGATCATCGAAGACCATTTGTGCTTTCAACACCGCTTTGCTTTAGCTATGTCCCATGAAATGCTAGTAAGTGCACACTCGTGGGAGGCTTATCAACAAAACCGCCGCGAGACAATGAATGTGTTTCATTTGCTTTCTTTCTGCTTGGAGACCTCAGTCTACTCTTGAGGTCCGTTACAATGCAGACTTGGCCGTGGAGTCTTGCATTCAGCAAGACCTTTGGCACAGCCAGGGCTCCAAGGATTCCACATCACTTCGAGAAGATCCACATTCCCATCGCACATACAAACACATGCAACAATGACCACATCCGATCCTGCTTGACATGACCTTATTCTCCTTGCACTGAGGAACTCAGCTGCAGAGCCAGCTGAAGGGACTTTGCTTTGAAATGTGCTGCTTGGCTGTGCAATTCTGTACAGAACCCCCTTTGCGTCCATTCCTGTGCTATTTCTGAGGCAAAGTGGCCAGGTCCCAAGCTCGAAAGCATCTCCACTTCAACAAACTGCCTCATGAGCATTTGTCTCTGACCTGTAGAAACACTTTTTTCTTTCTTTTTGACGAGCATTTGCAAAACGCCCCTTGAAGAAACGCGTAATTTCGTAATGTAGATAGACTTAATGCCAGTTAAGCTTGCGTTGTTGATGCTTTGTGTCATGTCATTGCAGGCACCTCCAATGCAAGCAAGACAACAGAAATGATGCACAGTCTCGAGTTCAGCATCCAAATGCCACCAAGCATAGCAAGATTTGCATCATCAACCCTCCTAACAGAGCGCACACACTCACACTTCACTCCAACACTGATTATATATAGATGTGGATTCCAGAAAAGCTCTACTTACATCAGTACTGTTTGTGTTGTACAAGGTGCTGAAGAAGGCTTACAAAGTTGCGAGAAATTGAGAAAGTCACCTACAGGAAGAACAGAGAAATGGAAGTTGAACAACAGATTTGCAGCCTTGAAAGTCCAAGATCCGCTGTCAAAGGGGTAGAGTAGGAATACGACTATGAGGTGCCGTCCTTTTGACTCACACCCCAAATTCCTATGGTCCAGACATGCATTGTGCAAGACATGGAAAACAGCTTTAGGCGAGTGCAACAAGCTGCATGATCCAAAGTGACTACACATATATAATTAGAGCTTTCATAGGTTGAACACTTTCGAGCTTTCAGACAAATTAGGCATCAACAGAGCTTGAGTGAACGCAGAAGTCTGTAGTCAAACAAGATAAATGCAGCTGTCTTCCAGGTTGGTCTTTACCCAAACTGCCCACAATGTGAAGGCCCTGGATAAGTGTTTGTGTGTGCGTGTTGCGGCGTCGCGGTGGGTTGTAGGCACTTCAGCACATGGGCCTGGTGAGTTTTCGCCGGGTTCGCCAGTGGAGGGCTCGTGCGGAGCCAAGTATTTCTGGAAACGACAGGCTTGGTGAAGTTGTCTTTTTTGCCTTGACAAACCGACCAAGGAATTGGGACGCCCTGCTGTTCCACATGGATCAGATGAGTCAATGGGGACGTTCAGTCGTCAGGCAAAGTGGCAAAGCATGCGTATGTACGTATACATGACAATGTAAGAATGCACACCATGAAACACACAAGTGAAGCCAGCAGCCATATTAAAAAGAGATTAGGAGGTGCTACGATTGGAACAATGTAAGACTTCGTTGGCCGAGAGGCATTGGGCTTCCAAGAGCGGGCCTTCACAACTGCAGTGCTCATCTCAATGTGACATTCCAATACTGTACCTAATTATTTCAATAGCAAATTGTATGTTTCAAAAAAAATCAACATTGGAACATGTGTAAAGCATGACTTCATCAACCGAGCTTGGTCACAAGGCTGCTAAGCAACACGACCCTTGGTTGTGAAGAGGCAGATGTGGCGCCTGGCTACACAGCATTCACCAGAAGCAAAGACATTGCAAATTGACGACCCTTTTTCCTACTAGGAACAAGAAGCTACTAGGAGCAAAGGGCATCGCTACTAGGAGCAAGGACGCTACTAGGGGCTCCTGGCATCGCTACTAGGAGCATTCTTACTACTAGGTGCTATGACTCTAAGGCGTCGAGAGGAACTCCAAGGACGAAAGACCTCACTGTGGCACAAAAGCATTCCAGACTGTGGAGTATACAATTATCAAGTTTCCTGCAGTGGTCTTATGTGAAATTGTGCTCACTTGCTCACTTGCCCAAGCTCATTCTTCTTGGGCCATGTCAGGAAAGATTTTGGACTCTTGTAACAGCTTTTGCCGCGCCCTTGCTGAGCTGGGAAAACAAGATCAGTTTAGAATTTTATTAGTACCATCAACTCTCACCCAGCCCTCACCCTACCATCTAATTGAGGCCATGGCCATGCGTGCAATGAATGCCAGCAGGCAGTTGTCAAGTTGATTGTGAGTTTCAACACAATCACTATCACTAGAGGAATGCTCTTCAAGTTCCACAATCCACCATTGAAAGGAGAGATGTACAAGATGTGATCACTGGAGAGACATGAACTTATGCAGCTATGCACATGAAAGAGCTGCAAGATGATGGTGAGTTGTCGGTAAAATTCATGGTTCCAAATGAATGAAACAGGTTCACGGCCCACCCCAGAGCTGGCCGCTGCTCATGGCACAGGCGGGTGAGAAGACGAAGTATGATGAAGATGATGAAGAAAAAATTGTATGGCAGACATGGAATTGTTTCGCTTTCAAGCGCACACCGAAGATACTATCAATGAGCCACAATATATCTAGTCTAATTAGTCTAGTCCTGATCACCCAGCACATTGTTTCAACATTATTACGTGAGTCACATGTGTTGGAGGCAGCAAGTTACCTCTTGGGAAACCTATTTGTTGCCACAGGCTATTCCTCCACTGCCAATCGCAGTTATTTTTGATGTAGTATAGGGCGCTGTGGATCGCGCTGGCTGTGCTTCGAGCCATGAGCCGTTGGAGCCGCTGGTGGCCTGGCCAAAGAGAGGACGCCGCTCTTTCCAATTTCTTGCTGGAACAAGAGACAGCCAGAGAGCTGGCCGCCTCTTTTCACGAATGGATTCTCCAGTGTTTTCACAGTGTCTTCCAGGAGACAGCACAAGCGCAGGCACGTCTTCTCGACGACTCCATTGTCCAGCGCGTTCTGATTGTTTGATATAATTTAGTAATCTCTCAAACAAGCAGTACGAAGGCGGCTTTGGATGAACTGAATTTGCTCATGTATCTCTCCACAGGAATCTGCTACTGCAAGAATTCACCAACATCCACTCGCTGTGCAAAGATGTTTCAATCCCCAAAAGGACAACCTTGAGTTGATGTCACCATACACGATCATACACGCAGATTCACATTTTCAGCTGCGTATATACTGGAATGCACATGATCCATAGAAGAAAGCGTGAGAGTATATTTTACATACTTATATAATTATATTATGCGCTTTGCCCCTCATGGTACCTATGAATCTGATTCAGGCGCAAGCCACTGCAATTTCCCAGCTGCAATGTCAAAGCTTTCTAAGATAGGATGTTCGAACAGGCCACTAGGACCAGGCACTTTGTTGAACAACTGTGGGCTTCGCAACAGCTCTCACTAGGAGCTCTTTAAATTCTCTGCCACTACCAACACAAACAAGCCTTGCAAATATTTTGAACAAGAATGGTGAACAAGCAGTGAACAGAGCTGATGCATTTAACATGAGCGCTCTACCACCCTTAGATCAGAATAGGATGTAGTAGAACAAATATGAACACATATTGCTTTACCATACGTCTCAGCACAAACGACAGCGCATCCCCGAGCCCGTTCATTGCAGGAGACATCGTCTAAAGAATCGGAGCCAATGTCTTCAAAGAGAAAACGCAGATCGACACCCGCGTCAATAGAAACAGTCTAAACCAACACCAATGTTCTTTTCCTACTTCATTCATGAATGGAAACTTGTCCCAAAGTGACATTCATTGTTTGTAGGTGCTTTCCTATTTCTCACGGCATTTTGTGCTGCGTTCTCAGAGACCATCGCCATGCTTACTTTTCTTAAGCAAACATGTCCATTACCAGACAATCTTCTGAAGTCATGCAATCTATCGCAATTTCTTCGAAGCACAGCAACGAAGCTTTGCTACTCACTGCAATGAATGATTTTTATCAAAGGACTTAACTCCTCGTGAAAAGGCGTTTGCTTATATGAGCTTTTCCAACGGCATATAAGCACTATCACCAGAACCTTCAAGACCATAACCCAATCCAAATCAGTCAAAATCAATTACTTTACTTCGAGTGATCCCCACCATGACATTCATACATTTTATTGTATAAATGTCATGGTGAGGATATTATGGTTCAGAACCATGCTCGCTGCACTTTTTTTGCGCCACAATATAATCAACAAGCTGTCACGAACACAGCAACTTCAAACATTAATATACAAAGGATGAAATCGAATTCAGCAAAGCACCAACAAATTATCTTGCTTCAAGTAATCCCCGTGTTTCACCTGGCATTCTATCTGGCATATCTTCTTGCATTCTATCTGGCAAACTATCTAGCATACTATCTGCCATTCAATCTGCCATTCTATCTGGCAATCTATCTGACATACTATCTGGCATACTGTCTGGCATACTATCTGGCATTTTGTCTGGCATACTATCTGTCATTCTATCTGGCATATCTTCTGGCATTCTATCTGGCATTTTATCTGGCATTCTATCTGGCATTCTATCTGGCATTCTATCTGGCATATTTTCTGGCATTCTATCGGCAATGTATCTAGCAATCTATCTGACACACTATTTGGCATACTATC